GAGGCCGGCCATTCGAGGCCTAGCCTCGGATCGGGCTGAAATGACGGTCCCCAGATATACCAGGAGCAGCTACCCATTTTGCCATCTTTGAGGGTTACTCGTAAGGTTTAGTGCGCCCAAAATCAGGGGTGCCCTGAGTTCCCCTAATTTTCGCTGCCTGGTCAAACCAGAGTACGGTCAAAACTTGGACTTGTTTACGAGCCTAAATCCCCCGCAGATTTCAGGCGGTCCATCCCTTGTGGCCGCCTGATAGTTAGCCCGGACCTCCTCTCGACGCCCCCGTCCAGCCCTAACCACTTACGTCAAACGAAGCGAACGAGCTTCAGGGTGATTGCCCGTAAAGGACGCCCACATCGACGTTTAATTGTCTTATGTCTCAGTTTGTCATGAGTTCTGTGGCTAAGAAGATGTTTCTTGACTTTCCTTTTCCTTCGGGATTTTGGCCTGGGTAGGATTTTCGTTTTCTTCAGACGTTGGCCCAAGAAAGGTGTCGACCCCCCAGTTTGTCTAATGTGAACTCTTTGTCTGGCCCTCTTGAGCATGAATAACCATTTCTTCTCTCTTCCTAATGCCAACCCTTTGAGCTTTCTTCTCTGCACTATTTTCCTCTTCTTGGAACTTTCCCCTGCCTCGAATCATCTCGAGGGGGCTCCATCCTCCATTCTGGCCTTCCCTTTCCCTTTCGGGTCTGTCAGCGATAAGGTGGGTGCAGACCTGGGTCTAAACAACTTTAACCTAACACCCACCACTGGGTCCTTCCACTTGGATCCGTCTAATTCTGCAATCATATAGGCAGCCCAGTCGAGTGCCTCAACCACTCTGTAAGGTCCCATCCATCTGTTGGCGAGTTTTCCGGTCCAGGTCCTTTGGAGTACTGCGTCGTAGAGAAGGACCATATCTCCTACGCTCACCCTCTCTTTCCTGATCCGCACGCCCTTATCCCATCTCTCTTTACCGCTGCCAGACGATTTGCCGCTGTCATAAGGTTGTCTTCCAAACCGTAGGCTATCTGTCTTGTTCGAGCAGCTATGAGTTCCTCTCTGGACATCCTCTCCACCCAGTCGACGGTTGTCCAGCTGTCGACGTGAAACTCTATGGGGAGAGGACAATGTCGTCCGAATCACAAGGTGTATGGTGGGTATCCAGTGCTAGCCCGGACCGTGACATTGTCCGCCCATATCGCGTATCGAAAATATCGTGGTCAATCGCTGTCCTTACCTTTGCACCACTTGGATAATGACGCTTTTAGAGTCTGGTGTCCTCTCTCTACTGGAGAGTTCGACTGTGGGTGGTAGGCGGTGACTATCGAAACTCTCGCCCCAGCTCTCTTGAACACACTCTGAACCTCGTCAGCTAGAAATTCAGCCGCTCTATCCATCACTATCTTGTTGAGACATCCATACCTAGATAAGTACTCTAGGACGAAGTTCTTCACTTCCTTTACCATCCACGAATCCAGTGAAGTCATCTCGTATATTCACAACATAGTTCATATTGCTTACTCCTTTCGGCATCTTCACCAGATCGATGTGTACCTTCTCTCCTGGCCTGGTCGGATAGGATGGATGAAGTGGCTCTTTGTATTTCACAAGAGCTCTCTTCTGGCACTCCTCGCAGGTTATACAGTATCTCTCGACGTCCTTATACTGTCCCTCCCACCAGTACAGTCTGCGTACCTTTTCGTAGGTTCCTTTGACTCCTCTATGACCTCCGACTACAGTCTGCGTACCTTTTTTGTACCCGATGTTCTCGCAACTGTGTAATCATAGAGTCGAATCCGTATTAACCATCGCGCGATAGTCGGGTCCGTCAGACTAAAGTCCTTCTGGAGGACAGAGGCAACCGCTGTGGGATCTACTCTTAAGATGAACAGCCGCCCGTAGATATAGTGTCTGAACGTGTCTAGACACCGCAGAACAGCTAACACTTCCTTCTTGAATTGATTGTAGTTACGCTCAGCCGTATTAAGTGTCCTACTCTCCAATCTTAACGGTCTTTCCTTCCCTTCAGCGTCCTTCTCAGACAGCAACCCTCGAACTGAACAAGGTCCCGCATCCGTGGATACAATGAAGGGTCTCCCGACCTCATCATCAAAGAACGGCATGCCCAGTACGAGCCCTCCCTCCTTAAATTCATCTTTAAGCTCTTGCATAGCGAGTTCCTGAGAAGAATCTCAGTAGAATTTCTCAGTCTTCCGAAGGAGTACCCTCAATGGCTCAACCTTCTCCGCATACCTGCATATGAAAATCCGCCAGTAGCCGACCACTCGCAGAAATTGACAGACCTCGGTAGCGCTATGCAACGGCGACGGCCAATTTAGGAGTTTGTCTAGCTTTGCAGGATCCGCTCGACGTCCTCTTGAGTCGCAGATAAAGCCTAAGATCTTAATAGTCGAGACGACCCACCGACTCTTTGTTCCGCTGACCGTCAAATTTGCATCGTCCAGCTGCTCAAGTACCGCGCAAATATCGGTTAGGTGCTGCTCGATGAATCTTGTAACTCCTGGCACGGCCTCTGTCTCATCTTTCTTTACTGGTCCTTTTATAGGAAAGTCATCCAGAAAAACTTCAACCTTGTCAGGAATAAAGTCCTTGAGGACGGCTACCATGGCTCTCCGAAAAACGGCTACCCCATTAGTCCAACCCATAGGGACGACCATCATCTGTATCAGTCCCAATAGCGTGTGCATAGCCGTGAGGTGCCTGTCCCTGGGATCAAGCGATACCTCATCATAGCCTGAGAACAGATCACAGACCGAATAAATCGACCTGCCTGCGGCGCCTTCAGCCAGTAAGTCGGCGTGAGGCACGAAGCCTACGTCTCGAATCGTCACCGCTTTGACCTTCTGAAGGTCTTGGATCCACCGGATCTTGCCATTCGGCTTTCGTAGGAAGAACCATCGATTAGCATAAGCGCTGCAAGATGGCTCTGCAACATGAGAAACCATCTTTTCTTTTAGGAAAGCGATAACCTCTGCCTTCTCCTTCTGGGCGTATTTCCATCCTGCGCCATTCCATGGAACATGTGGAATCGTGAAAATCCTTGCTGGCTTAGCGTAACGAGGGTCAACCCTTCCGCGCTCCGCGTCGCTGAAAGCTATAGCCAGCGTTGTCACGCGGGGATCCCCGGGGCCCAAGCCGGGGTAGGGGTTTCAACCCCGGACCCCCGCCGCGGGGCTACTCGACCCCCGCCCCCGCAAAAACAACCCCGGCCCTGCCCTAACCCCG